GAATGTTTTTTCTTAATACTTTGGTGGGGAGAAACTGCAACTCAATAAGTATTTGTTCTCCAAAACTAGTCTTAATTTGGGTAATATTGACTTCTTTCAAATACAGGTTTCTCAATGCTTTAAATCCTCTCGTGACAACAGCTTCAGTACTGATGAAAGCTCCTGGACCCCCGTCAGACCCTGTTCTCACTGCCTTCACTGATCCAGCAGCAGTTGAAAGGAAAACGTCAAGCATTGCAGCACTAAGACTCAAAGCGAAAGAACATTCAGCACAAATCCCTCAATTAAACCTCATCTCCAGTCTTACAAATACTAACAAAGAACTTTGTTAGGAGCTCTCCCACAGACTACAGCCACGGAGGGGAAAGTGAATGCCTTCTCCAATAAGTAGCTCTCATTAGAGAGACACATTTAAAAAAAGAAAACACACACACACAGAGCTGTATTTCCTGCAGCTTCAGTAACAGACTGAAAGGAAATAAACCTGCTAAACATTGTTTTCCTTCATTACAACACGAAATCGGGTAGTAAATTGCCTTGTATCACTTCTTGCACTGCAGAAACAGAAGCAGGAACTATCTTATCTTTGTAAATCAGGCTAACATGTATCTGAAGCTCTGAAATCACCGAACTCACCAGAAGCTAGTCCAAAGGCTCCAAATTCTTTCTAGGAATAACCACTTTTCTAAGCAATTTTAACTTCTGAGGAGGAACTCATGCATGCAGTACTTGAGAATCAGTACACAGTTATTAACTTGAAGACCATGCTTCATGTTGAAGTGCAAATGCCAGTGAAATATGGCACTCTAGACAGACTTAGCAGGAACAAGATGGGGACTATTTTAAGTATGGGCTTTTGATTCAGATCTAGGTTTGTGTAAAGGGTACCTTGTTTCAAATTAAAAAAAAAAAAAAGTTTGTTTTATGTTCAGGGTGGCAGTGTCTTAACCAAGAAAGTTTAACCTCTGTACATGAACTGTATCCTGTGAAAGTAGGTTAGCAGTGTGCAGTAAATTGTGTGTAGTTCTAAATGTGAAGTTCCTGAATACTTTTAGCAAGATTTCTGGCACACCTTACCAGACCAGTAAGTTAACAGATTACTTGTATATTTTGAGACATTTCNGTTTGTTTTATGTTCAGGGTGGCAGTGTCTTAACCAAGAAAGTTTAACCTCTGTACATGAACTGTATCCTGTGAAAGTAGGTTAGCAGTGGTCAATCAGTAGTTTATAGCTGTAAATGTGAAGTTCCTGAATACTTTTAGCAAGATTTCTGGCACACCTTACCAGACCAGTAAGTTAACAGATTACTTGTATATTTTGAGACATTTCATGCCTTGAGTAGTTTCATAATTTAAATGAATACTCAATGTGAAGTGTGAAATTCTTCCTTGGACTAATGTTGAAATGAGAGGCCTTACTGAACAGGAGTCTACAGTCCCTCACAATCCTGGACTCCATGACAGGTCTTTTGAAAGTCCTTGCTGAATTTTCCCATCCAGGACATGGGACTGAGAACAGCTCTCCACAGGTCTGATGCTTTAGTGTAAAGTGAGGATATGTAGTATCCTCCTGGTGCTTTAGTGAAAAGCAGGACAGGTTATTTTTGCAGCCTACCTCACAGGGCTGTTGTGAGGACTCATTAAACAAACACAACAGTGTGCAAGTGGAGAGTTATACAAGTGCTAATTTTTGCTTCACAGCAACAAAAGAAAGGCCAACAGTTGGCTGCACATGGAGATCACCTTTCCCACACCTATAGCAGAGGTCCAAGCAAACTCTGTTCCTGTGGTTGATGGGACAGCATGGAACTCCTCCACTGATGCTGCCTGTTTTCTCAAAACTGTCCTCAAACACATTTACACTGAATAGATTTTGTGTATTTTAGAATTTCTTCCTCAAGGCAGCTCTGGGCCTACTCTTAAGACTTCACAGTTGTGTTCTCAGCTAGAGTTTGAGGTGCAGAGCTCCAGCTACATTGCTGCTGCTTCTGGAGACTGCACCGAGCTTGTACTTAGCTCCAGGGCAGAAAAGGGTCAGACAAATAAGCATCACGTTCCACAAGAGTGGAAGTATTTCTGTTTGGGTTCATAGACCTCATTGGTAGCACAGGTAGGAGAAGGTGGTGGTATTTCAGCTGTTAGGAAAAGCCAGCACCCTACTCGAGTTACAGCAGGGCTGCACTGTGTGTCAAGCAGCAGGAGACTGAGGAAGTGAAGGAAGCAGGTCTCCTCACACAAAGTTTGAGTGTGTTTCTTCCACAACAGCTATTTGCTTCCACCAGTCCACTTTCATGGCTCAGGCTGCCAACTGGCAGCACAACACGGTATCCACTCAAGTGTTGAGTTTGTTCCAAATAAACCTTTTAAGTAGGTTAATGGCTTGAAAACTGTTATTACACAACTCCTGTTCTGTACAAGCTTCTGTGGTATCTTTCCTTGCCACCAGTGTCTCTCTCTTGCAATGCAGAGAGGTTCTGCAGGAAAGAAGACTCACTGTTTCATTTAAAGTAGCAGAAACTGTCCTGCATTTTCCATGAGCCATTAAGAAAAGAACTCTGCAATAATAATAAAACCTGGGTATTTTTGTCAAATTATGTTCCTATACAAGTTCACCGGAAGTAGCATGTGAAAAATAAGAGCTGAAGGCTGACGTAATACATTGCATGAAATAGTAGGTTCTGTGTTATGACCAAAATTTTCATCACTGACCAGAGGGCTACAGATAACTCACTCGGGTGTGGGGGAATCAAATTCATAAGCTAAATTTCAGCAGTTACATCAGAGATAACATTTATCTATCATCAAAGTTTTTCCAATAGCTATGGTTAGAAATAATTTCAGGGACAGCAATTAAACACACAGACGCAAGTAACTTCACTCGTGCATGACAGCTCCTGCCAGAGCTGAGAGCTGCTCCTTCCGCCCAGCCCACACAGCCACTTCAGCACCACCATGGCAACTGCAGGCTTGGACAGCAGGGTTGGCTCCTGAAGCCTTGCCAGTTTGGGTATTGCTCTGTCCCAACTCTCCTTAAAAGAGGACAGGCTTCTCCAAGACATCCTCCTCTCCCACTGAGACCACAGCCAAGCACCTGCTGGGTGCCACTCCCCTGCCAGCTGTGAACTCTTCCCAATGTCACACTGAGGCCAGCACTGTCTCCCTTGGTGTACGCTTCTGCATGGCTCTGCAGCTTCAAGCTGCTGTGCCCAATCTGACACGTGGCAGAATAGCAAAGGTAAGTAGACTGCCTGTTCTGTTCCTGGTTAAGGAGAAGCTGTCATCCCTGAGCCATCTGGGCAGGAACCAGTGTCTGCAATCATCAGCAGTTCCCAATGGGTACAGGTAGAGAACACAGCTTCCTCATGTTTCATCCGGGTTTACTTTGAAATGAAGAGAGTCTTTGTCTGAGGTGATTTCATTACTTCTGTTTTACTGAGTCCTACCAAGAAATTTCCATTCTTCCATCTGACTTGAAATCCAGCTGTGAGAGTTAATGGTATTATGAAAATAAATATGCAGGGCAACACGTAGCAAATCAGCTTAGGAACCACAGAGTGCTCATAACCAAAACTCAGAAAGTTTTACATGTTAATTATTACTACCTTACAATGAAATATTACAGCAAGAGAAGAAGGTTTACTTATTCAGTCTGTTGAAATTTTAAATAAAGAGGCTTAATTACCAGCTTTTATGGATATAGTACTAAAATTGCATTTTTAAAAATGTTGGGAGCAATTAACTAGAAAACCTTCAGCCTAGTTTCATAGCTGTACATGGGGTCAACACCTTTGCTATTAATCAAGCAGGGACATTTGCTTTCCTGGCTTTTCTCAGGGCAATGGGGTCTGCAGCCTCCCATATCCTAAACAAGTCAGCCATTTTACAGAGCGTGTTTCACACTGAACATTGCAATTATTTCCTGACATTTTATCTTGCATTGTGCCATAAATTATTTAGTCCTAATTCAGGCAAAGCCTGCACTGACCTGGATTGAGACTGCAGGATTTGTCCCTATACTTCTCTTCTGAATAACGAAGGGTTGCAGCCTAAATCTCCTCTAGGTGACATCAAGATTGTTTCCTGGCACAGATTTCAACTGAAGCAGGCCTGAAGCCCTGGTTGTTTTATTGGGTTTATCTGATTTTCCTGAAAGTAGAAATATATGGGAGGATTTCCAAAGCCACAGAGAAACATGAATACAATTCCATCCCATCCATCTTCTACAACTACCGAGGAAAAAAATTCTTATTTTCAAATTAAACCTCTTGGCTTTACCCTCCACATCACAATTTTTTGAGGTGTTTTGCTGGAAGATCCTGCAAGTATATTAGTATCTCTTCAGAAAACATTGACAAATATTTTTATTGAAGGGCTCACATTTGGCTAAATTGTCAATTTTTTTCAGTTTGTTCTCTGGTTCAAGTTCAGTTCTGGTGCCATAGGATGTTGGATAAATTTCAGTATTTCCAGTGACATAATATTATGAGAACCCTGCCTACAAAGAGTGAGCGATTTTGTTGGGGGGGGGGAAAAAAGGAGAATAATAGGCCAGGTGTTTGAAGAAAAGACAAAGAAACAAGCACAGTAGGGTGTTCTGACTCACAAATCTGTATTGAGAAAGAAGTATTCACGAAGAAAATTAATTTAAGAAGTATGTAGCTCAGGTTTTGAGCCCATAAGTTCCTTTCAAAAACAGATTAGTGATTAAAAACTTTTTTAGTCTAGCAATCTCTTAAACAATTAGCACAGTAATTGGAAAGGGACTACAAATTCAAATCTAGATGGACATAAAAGACTTTCCCCATAGAGCTTTGCCTTGGTTTTGTGGGTAACTGGCATGCACCTGCCTTTACCATCAGTGGGACTGAAATACTGAAGAAGTGCTCTGAATAGGGATACAAATGCCCCAAACAGTAATGCCATACAAATTACTTAATTCATGTAAAGTAGAAGTAATTGTATTGATTATGAATGTGTGAGTGACTCCTTTATTTCAAGTTATATGAGATGTAAGCCACCAGCTTTCAATGGGGTCCTTGCTGCAAATTTGCCAACCATAGAGTGGGATGTTACTTTTTTCCTTATTTTGAGCAATAAATCCAACGTACTGCCATTTGGAAACAGAGATCTGCTGACTTTAGGCTAAATCAGGTAAATTAGGATTTCTCTCCTCCAGCCAAGTAGTAATTTTGCTCTGCTTGTTCATCCTACAAAAGATGCCTGAAATCAAAGAAAAAGGAATATAAGGGAGAAACATCCCCAAACTTCAGATGTTTTTCCTCAAAGTAGAACTTCTTTTCCCCCTTTTGCTATTATTGTCACAAAGCACTATGGATCACCAGATAAAACCTACACTGCCAAAAGAGAAGAAGGGAGGGGGAGAGAGATTATGCAGTGTGTCCCTAGCAATATAATTACCTAGCAGCAAATGTCTGACTTAGGGCTTCCCAGGAAGCTGTAGGAAGAACACGTGTAAGAAGAA